GGCCTGTCCTCAAGGAGATAGGCGCAAACTTTACTAGTGCATACTTTGTGGCAGCTCGTTCCCTGTATAGAACTGGGTAATTAATCTCAGCTGCTTGAAACTTAAGCGATTGATAACAGACGAAGAGCTCTGGGCCGTCTGCATCGGACTGCATTAACGCCCAGCCGATTGCAAAATCGCTGGCGTCACAGACCACATGGAATGGTTTGTCCTGATCGGCAATTGCTAGGACTGGGGATTGTATCAGGCTGTTCTTGATGCCTTCGAAAGAGTGCTGACACTCAGCACTTCATATACACCTCTCGTTTTTCTTTAGTAGACGAGAAATATGTAAGTTCATCTTGGCGTAGTTGCGCGAGTATTTGTGCTACACCGCCAAGCCAAGGAGCTTTCGAAGTCTCTCGACGTCGACTGAAACAGGCCAGTTGCTAATAGCCTTAATCTTTTATTGGTCAAGGTGTACGCCGTGTTTGATTAAGATGCACCCAAAAAGCGGTATTTTGCTAGCGGCAAAATTATACTCCTTAAGGTTAGTTTAGATTTAAGCCTTCCCGAAAGTGTAAGAACCTGACAAAAGTGTAATCTGTGAGCCTCTACAATCTTCTTTCTACCCACAGCCCGTATCGACGAATACACCGTCAAAGTAACCAGGTGCATAATCCTGCACCGGTCTTAACAGATCTGTAACACATTTGTTGAACTTTGCAGGATCGTTACCAAGCCCCTGAGGCACTACTAGCCACTCCCACAGCATGCCGCCGGTGGTGCTCACTGCTTGCTGAGTACAGGATGTCTCATTCACGTATGTGTTTTTTTATAGAAAATACATCTATCAGATTCATGGACGGAAAGATGGTGCATTTTGATGTACTACCTATGGCTAAGTCCTTCTTCGGCATCGGGGTATGCACCGGTACAATTAGAGCACATATGTTCTTGGACGCGTGCGTTATCCGCCATCTCCCTGTGGCCTTGCGCATACAGAATGTCGGAGAGCTGAGAGGGGATTAGATTTCTTTACAAGACTCGAAACTAAACTATAAGCAAAAGCATGCCGATCGCTAGTACTTTTCCACGAGGCGTTTGATACTGCTTTATGACGCAGTGCTTCAATCTTTAATTTGAGCTCGATTTTATCGCAAGTGCATTTAGCCTTAGGCAATTCGCATGGCACGGATTCTGTGAACGTGTCTTTGATATTAGGCATAAAAAATTCAAGAACTTGCCTGTAGCGACTCCCGAGATTTAGACGTGTCATGCTTAATTCAGGTCTTTCCAACGAAGACACTTTCACCCATCGATGAGCTGCTGAGAATTTGTACGTTCTCAGCAAATGCAATTGCCGACCGAATGTCGGTCACGTACTCGTCCTCTGTGACTTGTACACTGATCTGCTTGACCTTGTCACTACGCAGATCTAGCAAGAACGGTATTAATTTTAGTGATGGCAATAGTGTGATCTGCGAAGTCATCTTCGGATGCGCGATCAGATCAAGTGCGTGAGCGCATAAACTCGACCGATCATTTTCCCAAACTCTTTGTGCTTCTATTTCTTCCCAAAAACCTTTCCACAGGCTGCTAAGGACTTATTCCCTCAGGTTGATGAGTTCTTATTCCATCAGGTTGATCAGGTCTTGGATCCTCATCAATAAATACTTAAAAGGAGTTTCGACGCAAGTACGTGGGGAACAATTTTCTAGACGTCTTCTATCTATGATTGCAATTCCATATTTAGGTCTCTACAAGCGACTCTCCAAATGATCCAGAATTATCGTGTTGCCCAGCATGGAAACTAGTTTATTTTTTCTCGGATGTCGCCCGCTAGGCGTATACCCCTGTTTCAATCTACTATCCTTTTTTTCGAATAGGGGGCTTTTGGCGCTGCTTGTACATTTGCACAGCAGCCGGTAGCTTCCTCCACAGTGTGGTCGGTTGTTCCACTGCGATCAATTGCAGTCCTACTAACGAACGTACCACAAGTAAGGCCATCACACCCACTTGCAGTACATCCACACGCTTGTGGACGCTCCAAGACGTATATCATGTATTCTTCTGATATGCAAAGTGTAGACATCTTCATGGATCGATGCTGCCACCTGATCCATGTCTGGTACTTTATGAGCCATGGCAGACCAAGGATGACATCAAATTTGTCATCCAGATCCAGCACAGTGAAGTCATCATCGTTGTGCTTTCCTTCTAGCGTGTTGTAAAGTCCCACTACAGTTTAAATCAATGTTATCGATGCGCCTGTTGCAGAGCGCACCGTCAATTTCTTCGGAAGGGTATCGCATTCAGCGAACTTGAGCCTATGATCATCTAGCGACTGGTGACGAACAAATTTGTGCGGCACTCCATAGTCTAACAGGGCACAAAGTAATACATATTTTGTCATTCTTACTTCAAGAAGATGAAAAGTAATTCATTTTAAGAGCAGATATACGCAGTGATAGTGCGTCTGGAGTAACTAAATAAAAAAACAAATTGTTTGGGGTTGCTGGATCAGCAGGGCACTCCACCCATTCCGACTCCGACCGTTTTTTGACGGGGTGTCACGCCGTTGTGACTTTGCAACAGCGTCGGACAATCGTCCATTGCCCTTCTTTGCAGACAGTCGATCACTTTACTTAGTATGACGAGACACTGGGCAAGAAGCACTAAACAATTAGGTGTAATGTCATAAATATTGACGGCAATTGCACTTTTGCGATTACTTACAAGTTGGAATGCGAGATATCCCGCTCATAACACTGCATGGTCCATTGGTTCTGGATATCTCGCCTCTACTCACCTCGAAGGACAAAATGGGGTCAAGGTATTGTAAGCCTGTTTTACACTAAAGTCCTCTTGCACCGCAGTTGTAATCGTTTTATCAAGTTACTTCGACTTGATACAGAGCAGACGGTCCCTGTCAAGAACATCTGTAAGGCCTTGTAAGGACATCATGGGTAACACAAACTCGCTTACATTGTGCGCTACCATGCAACTTGCAAGGTAACAAACGTGTCGAGCGTAAGAGTGAACGTCACGCTTTCTTTTCTGATCTTCAGGTTATCTTTAAGAGTCCTGTCCTCAGCTCTTGGCGGCTAAAACTTCGGCTGAGCAGAGTCTTAAACACAATCAACGATCCAAACACGTTTGCATTGTGAAATTGAATTAATGGGGCCCAAGTTATGGCACGCCCTTACAAAATTGATTTGGCAAATGCAACTTGCATTTCCTGATCGTTACTGTGAAAAGTCTATATGCCATTCCCTCACTCCATGAAATTAGTTCAAAAGGGAGTCGATCTCGACTCCCCAGTACATAAAGATCTTTAACTTCAGAGTCTTGCGTCGAAACTCACGCGTCAACACTGCAGAAGCAGACTGAGACTGTTGCTGTCTCAATATCTCAGTTTGTTGGCGACCTTGCTAATGAAGCAAGATTTATTTAGCTTGCGACGCGTAATGTTCTCATTGCCAGAAGTTGGCGATTACGGAATACTGCTGGTCTTTATCCCTTAAGGAAAGCAGCGACTATTCAGCATTCTTTCCAACAATCGAAATCATTCGTTTGATCGCACTCCATTCGACATCACTTAAAATAGGAATAGCTTTAACGGGTGCCGGGAAATGTGTCGTTGCCTTCATCGTCCAACATGTTCATGTTGAACTGATTGTGTGGTCCTTGGACGGACTACACAGTGCTGCCGTGTCTGAAACCGGGCACACGACGAACATAGAATATCCAGTGTGGAGCTTCTATCACCGACAGAAGTGTGGGTGGAGCCTCGCTACTTCTGTTAACTAGGCAGAGGAAGGAAAAGCAACTAGGAACTGACTAGTTGTCGGTAAAATCTAAAGTTGTATCGAATGTTCATGAGCTCTATTACACGTATCTATGTTTAGTCTTAACTTTATAATGTCTACTTACAGAAATGTATGCTAAAGTCTTGCTCCCCACTCGGTGATGACTGGACCGCTAGAGATGGCTGATATGATGGCCCGTTTCAGGCAATCGGTAAGTTCTTCGGAATATTACCCCTAATGGTAATATTCACGAACAGTATCAACCTTTATGAAAATATTCTAACTAACAAGTATCACAGTCAATTACATGCAGCAGGCTCACCCCGTTACAATCCGTATGACGATACAAAAGCTGCCGTGTATGTAGCTTGTACAAAGGTGTCATTGTCACATCGCATACCGATTGCTTGTAAGAAATGTCACATGTCCAACACCTCCCTTCGAGTTGGGGGGGGGGCGGTCAATTGAGTATTTGCGCTAGAAGGACTCCGTTGGACACTGAAAAAGTACGCTACGATATGTCGATGCAGCGGTGGTTCTGCCGATCGAATTGTTGGGTTCACCCAGCGCAACGGGTCTTGCTTGCTCACTAGTAGTGTACCACTCTCTACCATTACTTGCCATTACGTGCCTTGCCATTTGATGCTCGTCGCCACTTCGTGTGTTGATGGTGCAACCTCACAAGCAGACAAGAGTGCACAATACCAAAAATAAAAAACAATTGTAACGGGGTGACTCGTTACATAACAATTTATAAGAATTGTTAATAGAATATAACTATAAGAGCTATATTCTCAGAATATTGTCATAAGGACAAATATTATGTAGCACTTACGAGTAGTTTCTAAATGGTTGATAGAGGCCATTATATCAACCGACGAAGACGCGCCACGACAGACGCACGCAATGAGTGGTGAGCAGATAACTGATTGACACATTTGTATTTAGACATAGTTAGATGAGGATAAATAGTGATTAATTAACATACATTAACTATTATAAATACAGTTCTACTTTTTACTCTAACAAATTACTCGCTTCTTCTTACCGTCTTCCTCTGCACGTACGAGTGTACGTGAAGTTACGAGGCACCGCCTTATTCTGTCATCAGAATAAGTAGCTTGTACTGTCACCAGTACAAGCTTCAGGGTGCCCCGTTACACCTGGTAGCACTTCTTAGTCCGTCCAAGGATCACGTTCACATCCAACATGAATATGTTGGATGATGAAGATGACCAAAGCTTTCACGCTACGCGTGACGGCTACTCCCATTTGAGCGATGTCGAATGGGATGCGGTTGAACGAATGGGTTCCACCATGGGCATTCATGCTGTTAGCGTCATGCTAGAGGCTCTCAATAGAGATGCCCAACATGCTACTATCGCCAAGTTCATTCAAAATGAACTTGACGCAGAACGCGAGAAAGTAGCCTTGCTTCACCAACAAGGTTCTCAACAAGCAGAGTTGTTGAGAGAACAGGGTGCTCAACAGTTTGAACTGTTGAGACAGCAGCAGGCTGCTGCTGGTGGGTCGATGCACTCGCGTCGACCCGAGACTTTGAAGATTGACATCTCCAAGTATAGGGGGTCGAAGAAGACTCCCTCTTGAGATGGTTCGTCGAATTGGATGACGCCATAAGGGCGCGTCGCATCGACGACGGGGATATGCAAGTTGCATTTGCCCAGTCAAATCTGGCAGGACGTGCCAAGACTTGGGCACTGGGGCTCAAGTTGCACGACCCATATGCGTTTGGGTCGTTGGAAGTCTTCAAGTCGCGGCTCAGACAAACGTTTGAACCGCCTAGAGCTGAGTTCAGGGCTCGAACCGAACTCTTGAAGCTCAAGCAGGGTAAGCGTGATGTGCACGCTTACGCTCAACATATACGACATCTCACGAGTTGTATAAGTTCCAATCCGGTGGATGAACACACGTTGGTTTCGGTGTTCATGCAGGGTCTTGCGGATGGTCCCGTCAAGACTCGCCTGTTCCGGCTTGAACTAGATTCACTAGAACAAGCCATTTCCATTGCGGAGCAGGAAGACTTCAGTCTGAGACAGGCTCGCGCCAGCTCGACATCATATCGTCAACCGAGACGATATGACAACGGAGGTCCAGAGCCGATGGAACTCTGTTATGTAGAGAGCGAGAAGGCTCGCTCTACAGGCTACAAGAAGTTGCAGAGATGCGACAGATGTCAAAAGACAGGACACTACGCTTACGAGTGTAGTGCCCCTCGTCCAGTGTCTCGCGACACTGGGTGTAGTGACCGTCCACCCATGAGAAAGGGGCAGGGACGAGGGTCCGCAGTTGGTGCAAAGACGCAACAACGGGATGGACCGTCAAAACACGGACAGGATCAGTAGGTGCGGAGCACCCTACTGGTCTAGCAACGTCAAGAGAATTTGTAGGCCTCTTGATGAAGGTTGCTCCCAACACACAAGCGTTGTGCGTTGCTGCTCTAGGTAATGAGGTCGCACTCATTACCTTGAAACTCGAAGTGACGAATAAGTTGTCCCTTCGAGCTCTAGTCGATTGTGGGGCGTCCAACAATTTTGTGCGACGCCAATCGCTAGAAGATGGTCACTTTAAATTCAGTGAATGTGACACACCTCCTACGAGGATGACGGTACGTCTTGCGACAGGCGCATCCGTAACCGTCATGAAGCGTATAGTGAAGATCCACAATACGCTAGAAGATACCCAATATGACGATGACTTTATCGTATTGGATTTGGATGACAAATTTGATGTCATCCTTGGAATACCGTGGCTCAGAAGGTACGAACCACGGGTAAACTGGCAACATCGAACAGTAACGATGCCTGCCGCTTGTTCATCAGATGGCCATCTGATGAACGTTTTGGAGCGTCCACAAGCGTGTGGATGTACTACGAGTGAGTGCGATGGCCTCACTTGTGGTACGGTCGTTAGTACGACTGCACAAAACCTTAGTGTACCAAACGGTTACACTTCGGAGCAAAGTTCCGGCGGCTGTGAGGAAACACAGGCTGCGCCGAAGGTCCACCACTCGAATAAGTCGGGTGGACTGGGACAAAGATGTATCCCTAGCGGGGAACATCTAGAAGAGAAACAATCGATCGCTCAGGTTAAGCGAAACGATAATCCTAGATCGACTGGAGAGTCTTTCGTAGAGGATCTCGCTGTGGTTGCGCAACCCCAGCAAGAGGAAGTAAAGGGAATAAGTCCCAAGATTACACATACGGCGGAAATAAGTTCCCCGAAACCCGCGGGAATAAGTCCCCGGGAAGCCGAAGGAATAAGTCCTTCGAAGCCTGAGGGAATAAGTCCCCAGGAAATGACAGAGACATTGAATGTCATAGTCAATAACGGATCAAGTGTAGGCGCTTATACACTTGATCTGATTGCGCCTCCGAAGTTGACTTCGGAGATCACTCAGTTGCCAACGCTCGAACATAAAAGGTTCTTGCGTGATATGCGTAGTGGCAAAGTCAAGCAGGTCTGCGTACTCGTCGCTGATGACGAGTGTGTAACCGACATAAGGTCAGCAACAGTGTTCACTGAGAACGAGATAGTTCTCAGTAGTTCATCTATGGACGAGAGTGTCCTAGATGAAAAGACACGAATTGAGCGATATGACTCCCAATCGTGGGAATCGCTCAAGAAAAATCCTCTCTATGAAGATTTGGTTGAATTCAAGGATGTATTCCCTGAAACTGTTCCGTGCGAATTACCGAAGGATAAAGGTATTCGACACGAGGTCGAGCTTAAACCAGGCTCGAAGTACTGTGTCATGAAGCAGTGGCCACTGCCTCGTGAACAAGTACTTGCGATCGACAAGTTCTTTGCCGATCGTTTAGCTGCGGGCCATGTGAGGGAATCAACTTCCCCACATAGCTCTCCGACCTTCTGTGTGCGAAAAGCAACAGGAGGGTGGCGGATAGTGCATGCATTTAACAAGTTGAATGCTGCAACGGTACCGGCTCAGACGCCGATACCGAGGAAGGACGTAATCATTGATGGTATGTCAAAGAGTACCATCTTTTCGTCCATGTATTTGATGGATGGCTTCTATCAAATCCTTATGCGGGAACGGGATATACCCTATACCGCAGTTAGCACGCCTAGCGGCATGCTCTGGGAATGGCTAGTAATACCACAAGGGCTTAGTAATGCCCCTGCCACGTTCAACAGATGTGTATCACATCTGTTGAGACCAGTACGAGAATTCGCGCCGAGTTATTTCGATGACGTATTCATCCATAGTCGAGCTATGGATGGAAAGTCGGACGTTGATGTTCACAGGTACCACGTCCGACAGGTTCTTACAATCATGCGAAAGCATCAATTGTGTGCTAATCTCAAGAAGTGTATATTTGCTGCAAGCGAAATACCACTTCTTGGGTGCATCGTTGGTAAGAACGGTGTACGTCCTGATCCCGAAAAGATCAAGGCGATCACCGACTGGCCTGTGCCGGTTGATGTCAAAGGTCTTCGAAAATTCCTTGGGCTAGCGGCGTATTTGTATAAGTATTCACGCAATTACGCCGAGATGACTGTGCACCTCTCTCGTTTGTTGAAAAAGAACGAGAGGTGGTTAGGGAACCTTTAATGTCAGCGCTCCTTTGAGGGTATCAAGCAGAGCTTGATACAATCCCCAGTCCTAGCAATAGCCGATCAGGACAGGCCATTTCATGTGGTCTGTGATGCCAGCGATTTCGCAATCGGCTGTGCATTAATGCAGTACGACCTAGAAGGCGTTGAACGCGTCGTCTGCTATCAGTCGCGTCAGCTGCAACCAGCTGAGCGGAACTATCCAATGCATGACAAGGAACGCCTTGCCATGAAGTATGCACTCGCGAAGTTCAGAGTCTATCTATTAGGAGATAGACCCTTCATTGTTTACCCTGACCATGCGTCATTACGCACGGCAGTGAACAGCCCGCACCTTTCACAACGAATGGCGCGGTGGTTGTCATTCTTTGCAGAATACAACTTTACGGTCGAGTACAAACCAGGACGACTTAATGTCGTCGCTGATGCACTCTAACGTCGGCCCGACTTTGAACCAGTCGTGAAACCCAACAGTGAGACAGCCACTGTTGCGGTTATGACGTCCTCAATACCATCTTCAACGTTATATGATGATGTGAGGCGGGCGTATGCCCAAGATGGTGAGGTTGTGAAGTTGTTGACACATCTCTCACAGCCATCTCGAGAATCGTTAAAACGATTATCGTCTGCGTATCGATCTGCATCAGATCGATACACTACTCGCGACGGTTTAGTGTATTATGCAGCCGTTTCTGGTGACACACCACGTGTTGTCATTCCAGATGATACTGATCTGCGTTTGCGGATCATGTTCGAGTATCACGATGCTCCTATAGTAGGACATCGTGTCCGGGAGAAAACATATCTCACGGTGAGTCGAGACTTTTACTGGCCCCGCCAGTATCAGTTTGTGCGCAAGTACGCTCCAGCATGCGAAGTCTGTCAACGAGTGAAGTCAAGTCCTTCACTGCGTGCACCTTTACAGCCTCTACCGGTTCCGACTGAGTGCTGGGAATCCATCTCAATGGATTTCGTGTTCGGGTTACCCAAAGACGCACGCGGGAATACGGGTATTCTCGTATTTGTTGACAGATTCAGCAAAATGGTACACCTTGTGGCTGTACCAGAGACAATCACGGCAAGTGGCTGTGCTTGTGTCTTTATCGACACCATCTTTCGACTTCATGGGTTGCCCCGTGAACTCGTATCAGACAGAGATCCACGATTCACTGCTGATTTCTGGCGTTCCGTGTTCAAATCACTCGGAACGCGCTTGAAGATGTCTACATATGATCATCCAGAGTCAGATGGTCAGACGGAACGTGCCAATCGTGTCCTTGAAGAGATACTTCGAGGATACGTACACTCCTTTAAGAGTTGGAGTGAGTTCTTGCCCATAGTAGAGTTTGCCATTAACATCTCGGTGCATGCGTCCACGACACATCCACCGTTTTGCGTAAATGGCGTACGCCATCCGCGTGTACCCACCTTACTAGAGTGTAACTATGGTTTAAGGGGGGGAGAGTCTCGCGCGAGCACAAACCGATTTGGTTCACGCTCATCACGCTCTGACGAAGAGGTCATTTCGTTTGATGCCGATACCGATAACATAGATATCGAAGAAGATGATGCCAGTGAGAGCGCGGAAGCCCTTACTAAAGAAAGGATTGATGTCGCTGCAGTGCACTCACAGCGCACTGAAGCTAACGAGTCATCAGATGAGTTCATACTGGCTCGTGAAACGGTAGTCCATTTTGTGCAAGACTCTATCGCCGAAGCGGTGGATGAGCAAAAGCAAAACGCTGACAAGAATGGAAGGGCAAACACTCTTTTATTTAATAAAGATGACTTAGTCCTACTGTCTACGGTCAATCTACCAAAGTATGTAGTGACTAACTTGGGTAGCAGTAAACTACTACCCAAGTGCATCGGCCCATTTCGTGTTTTGCACCGCCTAGGCAATGCATACACGATCGAGTTACCACGTAAGATGCGAACGCATCCCACGTTTTACGTTGGTCGGCTTAAGCCGTACCATCAGTACGCTGCTTCTTCCGATGAAGAACGCTCTTGCGCTCAAGCATCTCGCAGAGAGCCTTGTGCTCCCGATGGTGGGCATCAACAAGGGTCTGAAGAGCAGCTATCTCATCCCGAGACCGATCAACAATCCCACGAGCTACCCTTAGCTCGTCACGAAGAGATGTCAGAGATCTCTCGTTCTCAAGCTGAGCAAAGGCAAACTCAGCTCGATGCTTCAAGGCAGTGTCCGCCAGTTGGAGACGCCTGTCCCGCTCATGTTCGAGATCGTCGCGTAACCCTTGCGTTACGCGATAGAAGAAGCTCTCAGGAACACACCGATCCACATGATCGTGTGGAGAGCGTCTTTCCTCCTCCTCCACCTCCATCAGAGGACTCTAGCGGTGGCCAGCGCTATCTAGTTTAGCAGCTGTTGAACCACCGCGACGTGAACGGACGTCGGACGAGTTATCTCGTCCGGTGGCGCGGCTATCCCCCGTCCTGGGATTCTTGACAGCCCCGCTCCCAAGTGATGATCAATGTACTGGGTCTGGTTGCACAGTACGAAGCGGCACATCCTGTGCCGCAGAAGGACCGCCGGAGAAAGTCTTCCCGGCACGGTCGTAAAGGGATTTCAGATTGTCAATCCCTTCGTACATCTCAATAGAGATACGTACGCGCCACCACGGGCTATTAGGGAGGTAATCCTCCTTAGGTGCTCGTGCAGAGTTGTTCACACAACATGGGCACGAGTCTCCCCAAGAGAGGCAGGGTAATCCTTTCTCCCTTGACAGACGATGCAGCTTGTAGCGTG